ATTTAATAAATACCAAACTAAAAATAAAAAAAAATAAAAAAAAAAAAAAAAAAAAAAAAAAAAAAAAAAAAAAAAAAAAAAAAAAAAAAAAAAAAAAAAAAAAAAAAAAAAAAAAAAAAAAAAAAAAAAAAAAAAAAAAAAAAAAAAAAAAAAAAAAAAAAAAAAAAAAAAAAAAAAAAAAAAAAAAAAAAAAAAAAAAAAAAAAAAAAAAAAAAAAAAAAAAAAAAAAAAAAAAAAAAAAAAAAAAAAAAAAAAAAAAAAAAAAAAAAAAAAAAAAAAAAAAAAAAAAAAAAAAAAAAAAAAAAAAAAAAAAAAAAAAAAAAAAAAAAAAAAAAAAAAAAAAAAAAAAAAAAAAAAAAAAAAAAAAAAAAAAAAAAAAAAAAAAAAAAAAAAAAAAAAAAAAAAAAAGGAGGAATTAGGTGGAATCATGCCTTCGTACTATTCTGTGCAGTTTGCAGGGGTCGGACACTGCAATTGGCGCGTTTGCACTCGAAATTGCATCCTCAATTGAAATCGCAAAAAGCGAGTGCAGTTAGAATGGGAAGCATTAAACAGCACGACCACCTGCAATCGCAAGTGCATTCTCGCAAATCTCAGAGTCTGACCCCTCCTTAGGCTGATGTCAGAGTCCGCGATCCGTCGCAGGTTTCGCTGATTTTCGCGATTTGCGCGAATCACGCGACGGGTCACGGAAATCACAAGTGCCCCATCAATACTGCAAGGGTGTTCTCCAATCCCGCCGTCACTTCTGCTTGATGGTTATGGTTTAATGAAGACTGCTCATGATTCCACTTGTTTCATATCCAGTGTTTCAATTGTTCAAATGGGGCACTTGCAATTTTTGTGATTGGTTTGGTTTGATTCCTGAAAAAAATAGGAACGATTCAAGAGCATTTCAATGAACTAATAGACATTGAACATGAAACAAGTAGAACCACAAACATTCGTCTTCCAATCTTTACTGTCAAGCAGAATTCGCAGCAGGATTAAACAACACCTCGCAGTATTCATCGGGCACTTCCAACTCCTGTGATCCATCGCAGGTTTCGCGAAAATCGCGCAAATCGCGAAAATCAGCGAAACCTGCGACGGATCGCGGACTCTGACATCAGCCTTAGCGATTGCTTGCTCGAGACGTGTCCACGTACTCCTGGATACGAATTGCGAGACATGACCGTGTTCTGAAGTATTTACGAGTCGTTTGCATGACCGGTCTCGTGTGTTGTGGACTTCTTTTTTATCTGCTTTTTCCTCACATACCACTCGGTTTATCGATGCAGAAAACAGAATGTGACCGATATCTAAGGCGTTCATAAGACAACGGCTTTCCTTTTCTTCTCCTCATGCTATCCATTCACTTCCGCTGATATCATTTAGCCTTCTTGTTCCAGAAAGTTCCAATATTCCCTCCTCGTGAAGAGATTTTCTCCGCATTCAACCTCACGCCTTTGAATAAGATTCGTGTTGTTATCATTGGACAGGACCCTTATCATGGGGTTGGGCAGGTATGTTCGTAAATGGTTAAGGCAGAGCTCTCTCATCGATTTTGCAAGTGGTTCGAGTATAATGAAATGTTTATATTCAGGCTCACGGCTTATCATTCTCTGTGAAAAAGGGAGTTCGACCTCCTCCGTCGCTCAAAAATATCTATAAGGTTGGTTTTTGAAGATGCTTCCCTAATAGGCATATCATTAAATAACTACGAATGAGTTACGCGTCGTTAACAACAGCCGTTCATCAGTGCGACGACAACTTTTCTTATGCATCTACATATTTCTTCAAACTCGCATTGTAGAATGTTTTGAAGCAGATCCAAAGAGAAAATTTCTCAGGCATCATTGCAAATTCGCATACCAATGTAAATGCAGAATTTTTTTTCTTAAAGTGCCAGAAAAAAAACTACCCTGTGAAATTTCTGAGAGAAACCAATAATCGACTAGGTTTTTTCACTGCCAAAAGGGGAACAAAATTGAGACTGGTAATACTGTGCCTTCATCTCTTTGAGCACGTTGAAAACCAGATCCTCCAGCGCTCAAGTGCTGGTTCTCGATAAACTTCGCTATTTTAGTGGTAGGCCTCAGCCTCGTGTAATTTCTTTTTTCTTTTTTAT